TCTTTTTTCTTTTTTCAAAATTGGCCCTTGGCCGAAGGAAATTCTTGGACAGAATTTTAATTTTTTTTTAATTTTTTTCGTTAGTAGGGCACTACTTTTAAATTTAAGGCACCGCCCTATTAACAAAAACACTAAAAAATATTAAAATTACCGAGGATTCCATCCCTGGATCAAAGGATAGTTTTGAAAAAAATAAAAAAAAAGTACATTGACCCACCTTCGTTGTAATTTCTCACTATAAATTTGAACACAAACTAATGTATTATAAAAATTGTAAAATTAAATACATGGGCATACACTTAATTGTCTGATCAAGAATCAGACAATTGAGAGCAAAACGTATTTTAACACAGGAAAAACATTAGTCCTTTTTAGATCAGACAACGAGAAAACCCAATCACATATCTTTTACATGTGTGTGAAACCACATAAAAAGTTTACCCACCCCCGTATGCCCTTGTTGCTATGTCTCTAGAGAGGCCTTTTACCAATGACTCAAAGCTTGTTGGTAGTTGGACAAACAAGTGGTTAACCTCCAAACCATGTATCATTTCATTTTCTAACATTACTTGATTATTTTGGTTTTTTAAATTGCAATCAATCGAATTGGTAGCATTGCAGATTAATTCTTTAATAATATACAAATTTCACTGTTTGGTGAAAATCAAGATGCTCCTTGAATATGATATTTTATTGAAAGAAACCGCAACTGATTTTACTAGAATAAAAAATGCTTTAAAAGGAATGCCTTTTTTAGTTCTCTTATAATATTAGTGTTTTTTTTTTTTCTTTACTTTTTCTGATTGTTCAGCCACAAGAATCTTACTTCCAGTTGTGGTTTGTGTTAGCGTAGGATATGTATCATGATATCAGAGCCATAGACTCCGAGCTCTGCTGGGTTGTCGTGATGGCTTTGGCAAATTCGTCTCTTAATTGTGATTTGTTCTTCGCACATCGAAATAGTGGAAATTGTTTTTCATTTATTAATGAATAGCGATATAAGTTCCAATGAACTGAAGTAGAGGAAACCAATAGATGAAGGAGATATTTCAAGATTTTGGATCACTTTTGCATGCCTTTTCACGGTTACAGCTTAGAACAGGCTCTAGTTACAATTTACAAAATTTAGTTTGATATTGCTAATCATAAAGTGTTTGATCTTTTCTTTTTATAGAGATCAGATCCATAACTGAGCTTTCCTTATTTATGCAAGAATAAATATGTAGGATTTAGGCCTGATCTTGATTGTAATTCTTTTTGACTTTTAAAAATGAAACCAACGCCTAGTTCAGAATTACCCTACCCCCCATCCCTCCCCCATAACCAACAAATAAAAAGAAAGAAAACAAAACAAAAGTGACAATGTAATCAATGGCTTGTTCATCTTTCACGATCTTTGCTTTTCTGACAAATTTATACGATTGTAATTGTAAGCTAAATCAATCGTTTTTTTTTTTTTCCTTTTAAGATTCTACAAAATTGAAATTGTTTCTATTGCCTATATCTCTATATTATGTAATATATTGACATCATCTTTCAATAAAATGTTTTGGAGCGTTGGAATTTTCATACCAACCAACAATAGTGGTTATTTTTTAATAGCAATTTACAAAATGAATCATTATCTTTAATATCTCTATCTATGTGTTCTTTGATACAATATTCATTGGCTTTCTAGGACATGTTTGCCGCCGGTACAGACACAACATTCATAACCCTCGATTAGGGCATGACAGAGCTCATTAGGAATCCAAGGGTAATGAAGAAAGCCCAAGACCACATTAGGAGCAAAATTGGACACAAAGAACAAATCGAGGAGTGCGATTTGCTAGAACTAGATTACTTAAGAGATGTAGTAAAAGAGATCTTTCGGTTACACCCAGCTGCCCCGGTGTTGCTCCCTCATTTATCCATGGAAGATGTGAAGATAGGTGAGTACAATATTCCAGCAAAAACCAGATTCTTTGTCAATGTCTGGGCAATCGGAAGAAATCCCAAATCTTGGGATAACCCTGAAGAGTTTTGCCCTGAGCGATTTATGAATAGTTTGATTGATTTTAAGGGCCAAGACTTAGAGTTGTTACCATTTGGTGTTGGTCGTCGGAGTTGCCCTGCCATTACATTTGGGGCAGCCACAGTGGAGCTTGCCCTTGCTAATCTCCTCTACCACTTCAACTGGGAGCTACCCCCCGGGGTGAGACCAGAAGAATTCGACTTGACAGAAGTATTTGGTATAACAATGCATAGGAAAGAACACTTAGTTGTCGTTGCCAAACCATATAACTGATCGATGAGCATAACTTCTGTTTTTCAGTTGTGATGTGCCTATTGAAGTTTTATTGATGGTCAGGGGGTAACAAGTGCAAATTGTGCGGACCATACTGCCATCCATTTGCTGGGGAAGGATAATTAGGAACAGAGTCATATTCGTTGGAGCATGTTATTAGAGGTTAGGTAAAGGAACATAGTTCCTTTCAGACTTCCCGTTGGATTTCTGTAAACTTTTCATGCTTGGGTATCTTGGAATTCATGTGTGATATAATGTTCAAATAGCTATATGTGCTGTTATTTAAGTGTACAGTACCTAGCTCCATGGAAGACTTCAAACTCCAATATGTTATGGCTTTTGTGTAATTTTTAGACTCCCATATATAAAAGAGCCCCTTTCAAGATTTCCTTTTTAATCTTGATTCCTAGTTAAGTCCCTTAGATTTGTCTTTCGAAGATATTCTCAATTACATTTTATTTGAAATATCCAACCTGTTCTGCTTTATATTCTCTTCTTTCTCTTCATGACACAAAGTCTCCAATTCTATGGAAGTCCTTCCATCCACAAGGAGCAAGCCATCGGAAAAATTACCACCAAAGAATAATCTCTAGATTATGAATACTCCTTGACTCTAATGACAAACGACATGAGTTTGGCTTCATAAAAGGTGCTTTTACTGTGTGAAACTTGATTAAAGGCCATGCAAGTGAGAAAATTCATGCATGGTCGGCAAAAAGACAATTCCAAGCAAAGATGTTTTAACTTCAAACCTATGATGGGCAACATAGGATGGATAAATAATTACCCATTTCATAACATGGTCTACGAACTTTGTTTTCCATGTGGGGGAAATTTTGCCATTCAACTGGCACAATGTTGGATTTGGTGCTATCCCAAATCACCTATATAAAAAAATCTAATTTTATGTGGGATTGAGATTAAGATTGATAGTAGTACGTTTCTTAAAGAAAATAGAAATCCATAAAGATTAGGACTCTTTGATATATCTCTTGGTTTTGAAATATATGTGACATCGATAGGAAGTTTCCTATTTTGTATGGATTCATAACATATATATATATATATATAGGAATGGTGGTTCCTTTATAGCGAGGGACGCAGAGCCTCTTGTGTATAAGATACAATGTCCTCTAAGAGAAGAGAGCTTCCTATACAGAGAAGCATTGTGATTGTACCTCATGAAGATTGAGAAGCTTGTTTCTTGTAGAGAAACGGTTCTCATTGAGATTTTAAGTTGTTTCCCCTTTTAATTAGAGAAAAAATCAGTTTCAACTTACTCTCACATCTCTATCTGGTGTTGTTGATAATAGTTGTCAGATGTAAAGAGAAAGAATGACGAGTGGTTTAAAACTGCTCAACTAGGTTTTGTTGAGGGTTATAGGGGTAACTCTATATTCCAAAATCTTTAATGTAACTTTCATTAGTATAGTGGATTTCAGTTTGTTGTGCCTGTAGCCCTTCTTGGGGTGAACCACGTAAATCTTTGTATTTCTATGGTATGTATTTCATGCATTGTTTCTCGTACTTTATTTACCAAAAATCGACCCGCTAGGTTTAGAGCTTTTGCGCACAAAACACACTATCTTCAAAATGCAAGCTTACTCTCTAATAATAAATAAAATGGAATTTTTGTATATATTTCATTTGTTCTTTATTATCGTTGTAGATTTACGTAGGGATAGTTTGGTCTACACTAAATATATATTGTATATTTAGGGTTTCATTACTATTTATGAGAATTGGCCACATATTCTATTTTTCTCTCTCTCTCTCTCTTTCATCTTTGTTTTTTCGAAATCTATCATGGTATTAGAGCACTAAATATCAGATTATTTTTTGCCTACTACTGCTCATGCAAGTTATTCATTAGTTCATTCATTGCTGATCATGGATTATCATATTCTTTTGTGAAGGTCAGTTAATGGATTGATTTTTGGTGTTATTTTCTCGAACTTTACAGTAAAGAGAGATATCTATTTGTTTCAACTCTAGAGAGAGAAAGTTCATCATTGTTTTGTTCGTTTGCTCTTGCTTTTTTTTATCCGTTTTTTCTCTCGACTTCCTTTCTTTCGTTTTTTTCTTTTGATTTACTTTCATCCTTTTTTTTTGCAACATTACGTAAGCCTTTTATTTGCTTCCTCCAACACCCTTTCTTTCATGATCCATCTTATTCTTGTGCATCTAAACCTCAATGTTAGCACACGGCTATGAATGAGGAAGTTGCAGCTTTAGAGGCGAACCACACTTGGGATTTAGTTCCACTACCCCCTAACAAATATGCTATTGGTAGTAAATGATTTTATAAGGTTAAGTTATGGGCTGATGGCATCCTTGACCGGCACAAGGCACAATTAGTTGCACAAGGTTATGCCCAAGAATATGACATTGATTATGAATAAAGTTTTGCTCATGTTGCTAAGATGACCACAATTCGGACTCTTTTTGCACGAGCTTCAATTCGTGACTGGCCTATGTAGCAGATGGATGTCAAAAATACTTTTTTTTAATGGAGAACTTCAAGATAAAGTTTATATGTGCCAACCACTTGGGTTTGCTACTCTAAATGCATCAATGGTCTGTCGACTTCCTAAGGCCATTTATATTCTTAAACCAACTCCTCGTGCATGGTTTGAGTATTTTACGAATGTCATTCTTGTAACTGGTTTCATTCAAAGTAAACATGATCGCTCCATGTTTATTCATACCATAAAGCATGTCATTTGTATTATCTTTCTATAAGTTGATAATAGTCTCATTTCTGGATATGACTTTACTTCCATCAATGATGTGAAGCTACGATTGCGAAAAGAATTTCAAATAAAGGATCTTGGGGAAGTATCTTACTTCCTTAGCCTTAAAATCACTCGTTCGAAACGTAGTATTTATATCCATCAATAGAAGTATGCAGTTGATCTTACTTCCAGTGCCCGTTTGACTGACATGAAGGTTGTGGATACACCTATGGAGCTCAATGTTAAATTTTTTGTGCATATTGGAGATCTTCTTCCTAGGCCTATAATGTATCACAAACTCGTAGGCTCCCTCATCTATTTCACTATGACATGCCCAGATAATGCATATGTCGTCCATGTTGTGAGCCAATTTGTTTCAAATCCTCGACAACCATATCTATCAGCGGTTGACTTAATCTTATGCTATGTTCCAGGCACTTTCAATCGTAGGTTATTGTTTGCCTCCACGTCCTCTTTAGATCTTAGTGCATATACTGATGCAGATTGGACAAGTGATCTAGACACTTGCCACTCTCCTACAGGATATTGTGTACTTCTTAGATCCTCTTTAATATCATGGAAGAACAAAAAACAAGATATTGTCTCCAAGTCAAGTACTAAAGTTGAGTATCGTGCTATGTCCGCTATTGCTAGTGAAATTATTTGGGTTTGTGCTTTTCTCGGTGACTTCGGTATCACTATTTCAGATCCTACACCTTTATATACAGATAACCAAAGTACGATTAAAATTGTATCTAATCTAGTCTTTCATGAGAGGACAAAGCATATTACTGTAGGTTGCCATTATGTTCGTGACCGCTACCTTGATGTCACATTATCTCTCCCTACTGTTTCTTCTATTGCGCAAACGGCTGATATTTTGACTAAATCAATTACTCAAAAACGCCATGATTATTTTGTTGATAAGTTAGTGCTTTCCTCATCTCCGCATCAGCTTGAGGAGTGGTAATAATGAATAAAATTTTATTTTAGTATATATTTCAATTGTCATTTACTGTCGTTGTATATTTGTGTAGGGACAGTTTGGTCTACACTAAATATATATTGTATATAGAGGCTTTTACGGTTTTATTCTTGTTTATAAGCATTGGCCATACATTCTATTTATGTTTGACTCTCTCTTTGATCTTTGTTTTCTCGAAATCTATCACTCTCTTCAAAATACAAGCACTCTTTCTTTCATGAGTATCTTGGGCATAAGAGCTAAATTGCATCTTCCCAGACTGGAAAAAAAAAAAAAAGGAAAAGAAAAACATAGATATGCTACCTTGTTTGGGTTTCTTGTACAAATTTCAGAATTTCGAATCCTTGATCATCTAAACCAATTTGTACAACTAATGCAGCACTTAAGGGATAAGTAGTGTCACTATTAAACTGGAAAAGAAACAGAAAATGTTACCAATTATCACCGGTGCTACTATGAAGTGTTTCATGGAGTTGCCACAAGGAACGAAGGGTTTTTCATATGCACAGGAAGCCCTAATTTTGTGTAAATTATGAAGATCTCTCCTACCATTTCGTTTTTGGGCGAGAATTTGACCAACAGGAAGAGGAAATCGTTCAATAAATATTATAAGCTATATACAAACACTTTTTATGACATAGCTTTATATAAGTCTCTTAAAGCTTTATACTATAGTTATGGGTAGCTTATATAATAGCTAGCAAAATTGCTTACAAATGAATGCCAAAGCGTTTGTATATATGTTACTAACAAGTTTTAGTACTGTATCAGGAAGGTGTTAGAGATTACCGAAAACCAGGACAATATATAAGTGGTTCGCTGTACCACTTCATGTGTCTAGCTTATAAGTTTTAGCCTCACATTGGAAAGGTGTACGAGTTTATTGGGCGGCAAGGCAATACAAATATAGTTTACTCTATGGATAAGGTTCGCTGATTGCACATAAAAAAATGAAAAATAAAATGTTAATAAAAAACAAAAAATTGGGAATTGGGAACTGGATGATTCAGCTTAGTCCAAATCCCCCAGTTCTCATGAAAAATGCTAGATGCATAAGAGCTTTTCCAATCCTGGTTCCCATTGCAACCTGCCCAATCATCACTAGTTCCATACCGAGATCAACTGATTTCTAACCGCTGATCTGTCAAACATTGACCAAACTCCATGTTACACATATAATCCTTAATAATGTACTTTTGTGGCAGTTTTAAG